TTGTTTACATTTTTCTTAAGTTGTTGCAAAGTCTTATCTAGAACTTTACGTGTACTTTAAAGTCTGAAAGAAGTTCAACATAGCTTAATTGTGAACTATCGCGCTGCTTTAAAGTACGGTTAGTACTAAGATTGGACTTTGTGTTAGAGGTTCGAAACAAGTTCTTTATTAACTTTTTGTGAACTTCACAGTTCAACTGAACGGGAACAAGAAACTTCTGTTGAACTTTCAAGATTCCAATAAATATTGGCGGTACTTTAAAGAGCATTAAGTTCTGTTTGTACGTGTAGTGCCTTGTTAATAAGCAAGAAAGTTCCACGGAACTAAATTTGAACCAGATGTGAACTTTTAGGTTCGTTCCTCAAGTAAAATCCGAACTTTACGTTGCCTTCTGCACCTTTGTCACCGTTCCCGCTTGATCAGGTACCAATGAGGTACAGAGAGAGGTGGCGCAGATCGTGAAATAGGGTTGTATTAGTAAACCAAAAAATCAACGTAAACGCAAGTAGTGACGTCACTACTTGCGTGTACTTGCGTGTATCGTACAGTGGTTGTGTGAGTGATTGCTTCACCTCGGTAATCCAGCTCATTGATCAGGTACCACGTACAGAAATCGATCATCGCAAGTCAAACACAGACACATCGGTGACAGATGCTTTCAAATACGATTGATTTCTATATTGCTGAAAAAAAAACATGCTTTTGAATTTAATTCAAAATACATATTTTAGTCTTAAGCATGTTTTCAATTTACTTTGAATCATTCATATGTTTAGAGTACAAGTACAATCTATCAGAGCTGACATTATCCGTAACGTAGCAAAAGGGCCTGTGAAATTTTTGTTTCACGGGCCAATAACGGAAGAGTCTAACCACAAACGAAGTGACAGACGGAGCGGCTCGAAAACTTTGGTGACTAACCTTCTATTGCAATTTTTCAGTGTACCACATGGCAACACCACTACTACTGGATTGTACCACATGGCAACACTACTATTGGATTGAACTAGCATTTTCACCAAATGTACTAGAATATTTTGGTTCTATCTCTTTCACTCTACTCAAAACTGAAATGCATAAAAAAATGACAAAATGATACGCACTCTTTGCACACTGTCAAAGAATCATTGTACACAAAATCAACTTTGTTCAAATCAAAACAAAAAAAACTAACCCATCTGGTGGATGATGGCACAACCCGCATAAACGTGAACCATAAATTGACCTTACCTAAAATGGTTAAAAATTGTTTATAATTCCTGCTAAACTTTAACTGAAATGGTTATGGAACTTTACATGAACGTTTAATGATAAAGTTTCAACCTTATGTATTATGGTTTTTTGGAACTGGACCTTACAAATAATGGGTTGTTAAGAACCATTACCGTTCCAAATTCTTTTTTTCTCCATACATTTTCGGAAAGAGAACTATATTAGAACCTTTTAACTTATGGTTTGAGAACTTTAATGGTAATGGTTATGGTAGTCAGTAAGGTCCACGAATGGTTTTGTAACATCGATCAACTTTATGTGGAATATATCGCGAATTGGTTGCCTGTAATTTACTGATTACCAATTCACGATATATTCCACATAAAGTTGAGCGATAATACAAAACCATTAATGGACCTTACTGATTACCATAACCATTACCATTAATGTTCTCAAATCATAAGTAAAAACGTTCTTATATAGTTCTCTTTCTGAAAATGTATGGAGAAAACAAGAATTTGGAATGGTAATGGTTCTTAACAACCCATTATTTGTAAGGTCCAGTTCCAAAAAACCATAATACATAAGGTTGAAACTTTATCATTAAACGTTCATGTAAAGTTCCATAACCATTTCAGTTAAAGTTTAGCAGGGATTATAAACAATTTTTAACCATTTTAGGTAAGGTCAATTTATGGTTCGCGTTTATGCGGGAAGCTTCCAAGAAAATTCTATTACAGTGAACCACATTATTTAAATGGATTGTAAGTCGTCTGTCACTTCGTTTGTGGTCTAACGGTACGCTGGGGGTAATTTAATTAATGAAATTTAAGTACATTTCTCGCTGTACATTGATGGAGTTAATGTACCTAATTTATGCGGCTTGTAATTAAATCTGAAATTTGTACTTAAAAGTAATTAAAGCAAAAAATATCCGACGCTCGTAATTAAAGTAATTAATCATGTAGTTAACTGTAATTATTGTAGTTAAAAAAGGCTTGCGTATGAGTTAAAGGTTATTGCGTGCCCCTCGAATATTCCCTTCTTTATCATATATCCAACGAATTAATTATGTTCTCTTTCATATATTAAAAGAAGAGCATATTCCCTTCTTTATCGTATATCCAAAGAATTAATTATTTCCTTTTTTATATTTTCAAAAAAAGGAAAACGCCTTGATCCATTAAAAAGTTTTTCTATTCTTTTTATATACGCGAAAGAAGATTCCAGGAGTGACTATAATAAACAAAAATAGTCAATCTAATACATGGCATACTTTTCTGGGGAATGGTACATTCTAGGGAATGGTTTTATTGGGAATAGTCCGTTCTGGGGAAATGGCTTTCTGGGGAATGGTACATTCTGGGGAATAGCATTCTGGGGAATGGCTTTCGGAGGAATGTCATACAATCAAGGGAGGGTTCAAAATCCGAACCTCCAGATAGCACAGTGAAGGATACATTTATTCATACAAACAGGCCGCCACTACCGAGCATGGAAAGCTAGATAGTACTTCATAACACGTTAAATGTTACTTGAGAGGCCTCGTGGCCGTAGAGGACCACCGGTCTAATTAGCGTCTTGTAGATAGTCAACTTCGTGCGTGAGTAGGCACGATTCTCTGCCATAATGCGTCTTTGAATTTCTCTGCTGGTATCTTTTTCGGCGGTCACCAGTGAGCCCTAATACACGAACTCATTGACCACCTCGATTTCGTCACCGGAGTAGGAGGCTAACATTGTCTTTTCTAGAACCTCTTCCTTTCATGTATTTTGTCTTTGATGCGTTGATGGCAAGGCCAATTCGCCTAGCTTTAGCCTTCAGTCTGATGTACGTTTCCATCGTCTTAAAGCTCCGTGCCATGATGCCGATGTCAAGCCAAGCCTTGGCGAAGCCAAGAAGCTGGATGGACTTCCTGAAGATCGTGCCACTCGTGTCTATCCCAGCACTTCTGATCACACCTTCTAATGCGATGTTGAATAGCAGACACGAAAGTCCATCACGTTGCTGTAACCGTGGGGTTGTTAAGCATGTTAACAATAAAAAAAACTGTTTTGTCTAGAACAAATTTGATCTCATCACATTAGTTTTCATTGTATGAGCATTGTATCGCTAAAAAACCAATTTTTTTTTCTCCCGTACAACAATTTAACAATAAATTTTAATGCACTCGAAATTCAACAGTGAAAATTATTGTAATTTCGTTGTTTTATTATAATTATTTTTATTTCGGGCTTGTACAGAAAATCTATCAAACGTTTGACTGGAATCTAATTAAATCGGTCCGGTTTTAGGCAACATTTGACAGATTTTCTATACTAGGCTGGTCATATCATCGTATCTGAGTGGTGCGGAGTTGATCACTTTCAGTTTTCAAGTTATTTTGCTTGAAAAATGTTCATTTTCTACCCTTTGTTTACATCTGCTCAAGACTGTTCACAAATTGGCCTTTTTCGTCAGAGAAAAAATGAGAACTCGTTCGTGACTTTCTCTTTATTTGTTTACAATTACAATATTTTATAAAGTCCGGAATAAGCTTTGAAATGGTTATCAAGTAAAAAACTGATCAATATAAAGTCAAATGGTCGAATATGCTTTTGTTGCTTTCCCTCAGACTCGTTTATTTTGCTTAGCTGGCAAACCGAATTTTTAGCGATGATAACGCCTATGTGGCCTAAAAGGCTACCAATGTATATGTATTTGTCTTCACGAGGGATAATCCAAATGAAAATGTGTGTAATATTTTAAATGTATGCATTTCAGAATCTCGTTTCCCGGGAATGCAAACACTATAGTTTCACTTTCTATTATTTCAGAATCTGCGTAGTATAGTTTAGCAATGTAACCATTATCCGATAGTCAGTGAATTCAATTATGAAACAAAATCAGTTAGATCACCGTAAAATTCGGCCAAGGCTGGCTATAGCAATTCTAACAACTGACAAGCAATGAATGATGAATGAAATAGCATAACAAAAACTAAAAGTATTTATAGAACGACTGCTTAAGTTCACCTTCAGCAGATCAACAATTGTTCCTCCCAGTACACAAACGTTGAACAATTTCCGAAAATAGCCGAAAATCGTACACTCAACAATCAGTGATTGCAATCCCAGTTCACCTAAGTATGACGATTGTCCGCTGTTTCACTTTGCAATTCTAATTCAAACTGGAAGTTCGGGAACAGATGTCCGATAACAAGTCACGTCCGCGAGATTCTACTCGCTTTCCGTTTGGCGCAATATTCTTCCAGCATTGTGTGACCGTATGACACCAAGGTGTGGGTGAGCGAATTCTAAAATTGTGATTTCCAGCCTCCTTCATATACAAATAAATGGAGGCGCTTGGCTGTTGTCGAGCACACGAAAAGACAAGACTCTACGACATTACTCGAGTTTTGTTGGCAGTGGCATGGAACACAATCTGCATCATCCATTTTTAAACATTCCAAATCCTAAAATTGCCGTACAAAAGTTGTCCATCTACCATTGAAGCATCCAAGTTGGATGATCCAGCGTGCACTATACAACGGAACACTCAAATTTTACTAGTGATTAATGTACTAAAGTCTGCGTTCAGTACTAAGAAAATGGCATAGTATTGGTATGCGCATGTTCCATATATCGATCGATTGTGGTGAGTTGGGTGGCAAACATCGTCAGATGTGTTGATGGCATTTGTAAAACGTTTACTAAGCCTGCAAATGGAAGGTTACAGCAGTGTGCATCTGTAAAAATACATGAACGAAAAAATCGGAGATGAATGAAAACAACGTTGAAGCATACTGTAGAGAGGTCTCAGTAGCAGCAGCGGGTTTCCTTTTAGCGTTGACTGGTTATTCGGCTCCAGCCGGACAGTGAAATATAATTTATACACATTGCATGGTCAACCAGTAGCACTCACGACGACGGTGTGGAAGTTACGTGCGGAGTTTGGCGAAACTTTCGACTTCAGTCTATTGTGGACGTTTCGTGAGTACTGTTGTGATTCGGCTGAGCGGCTTAGGATCAGCTTTTAGAGCCTTTTGTGTGAACAAGCGGAATATTTTCCTCAATTTTCCATCGATTTATTTTGTCTCTGAGCAAAGGCTAGAATCTGTACAACTGGATCTTTTTTACGACTTGTGCACTGTAATTTTGTACGTCACCCGAAGTTCCTGCTAGCAGTGGATTGTGATTTTTTCCAGAGAGCTTAAAAAAATCTTCCAATCCTGTGTCGAATGTGGACCACTATGCGAATGGGTTTCCATTTTATATAATTGTTTACCTAACTCATTTGGATAAAATTATTGAATGTTTTGGAAAGGTGCTGTTATTTAATATTGTTAACTTTTGTGAATAAAGTGTGATTTACTGCTAATCAGCGACGATCAAAGGATTTGTTCCAACAGGAAGAAAGAATCAAAACAAAAATATTCTCACGTCAAACGAAAGTAAAAGTGGAAACTGAGCGCTGTCAAAAGTGTAGTACTAGAGTGCGGTCGCACATGTGTAGTACTGATTTGTTGTTGCAAATCGGAGTGGCATTCGCGAACGAGTGAGATCTTTCCTATCTGAGTGCGAGACGTCAAAAGGAAGAAGTAGTGGAACAGACAGCTGCTGCTCTCGTGAGGATTTTCGTAATCACTAGAAGGAAAGGAAAATTTTACCGTATTCACCTAGGACATAGGGGTGAAAGTGATTTTTGTAGCATCAATTCCAGTTTGCAAAATCAGCCTGCACCAGGTAAGCTCCATGGGACGTACAGACATATTTATTCAGCATCATCAAAAAATTTGTTAATTTTGGAAGGTTGGAATTGCCTTACCTTTGCATCATTCTTATCAGATTTTTAACCTTCCATCCATACCCGACTCGACGACTGTGCAGCTGACTACAGTGTTATTTAATACCTAATGCAAGCTGAGTGCAAGTTTTTGTTGTTGCTAGAATTGTTGCAAAATATAAATTTTATTGTATTATCGATTTTGTTCTTTTGGATGTTTGAATCTTGCATTCATTTAGTGGACTTCACAATATTTATGTATGTCACTGCTGCGTACTATGCGGATTTGTTTTTTTTTGTACATCGAAGTGGCGCGTATACCTACATATTTAGCCATGGTGGGTGCGCGAGGCGTACTTTCGCGGTTCCACAATAAATATAAACAACCATTGAAGTTCGTGCGATCGCTTGTGTTGCCCACCAGCAGCAGTGGCCACTGCAACGCAACCTACCTTCGCAGTCCACTGCAGGTTCGCAGCAGTACATCTTTGGCTATGGCTGCGCTGTATATGTTTGCACTTTCTCCTTCCTTCGAAACCTGATGATGACGGTGATGATGGAACAATGAATGATCAAAACCCTGCCATGTGGATATGTGTATACCAGCAACTTTTGGTTGGTTGAAAAGTTTGTTTCTGTTTTGAAGCAGCCTTTCAGTGCTTTTTGTTTTCAATTTTTGGCACGAATTCCGTTGACGGATATGGTAATTGCACCGTCACATTTCACGTGAAAATATGTCGGTTTGTTGCAGTTCTCAATAGTCGCTATCGTTGGTGCGAATGAGAATAATTTAAATCGGGAAATTGCCGTGGGGTTTTTCTCGTTTTTTCATTATTTTGCTGAGAGATATAGTTATTTTACCATAGCACATTCTTGAATGTAGGAATATCCGATTTTTAACCCAAATCATGTAAAACAATTAACAATTGATAAAAACTGAATAAGGCATAAAGCTTTTCTTGAATAATGCAGGACACTGTTTCTGAACAAGGCAAAAAGTTCTTCACTTTCTTAGCAGTTAATTGAGTTAAAAAAAAATACAATTATTCAAATGGAGGTTCACACTGTATTAAGGCCAACGAAGTCGGTAATTTTTTTCTGGGTTTTGAACAGCTGAAAAACTCGGTAAAATTTCAAATGATCGTTACCTCTATGGTTATACCTGGATTGTAGTACGTTGTACTTCTTTAAACTAGTACGTCATTTGCGGTACTGGATAGCAAAACCTATACATGATCGTAATACATTTCCTTCCTTTTTGAATTTTTCACTGATTTTTTAATTTTTACCGAACAGTTCCATAATTCAAAAATTGCCGAACAATTGTAGTTACATTTGACGCATTTCATTAATCCCCAAAAAGAAGCCCTACCCGAGCAAAGTTGGCGATCAAATTGAAACCAAAATTTGCTGTTATGATGTAACTTATTTTGAATACTCTAGTTGATCTAATTTTGGTTGACTTAACGGTTAACACAGCAAAAATGAGAGCAAACTTTTACACTGTTGAATCAAACGGAAAACTAATCTTGCTTTCAAAGAAATCAATTTGATTTCTGATTTTGCATTCATAATGTTTAACTGGCGTAAATCGTTAGAATCCATGCTTTTCACGTTGAAAAACTTGAGCTCAAATCTCACCCCGGGCAAGTAACGAATGACCTAAAATGTGTTAAACAAAACAAATAAACAATGATCGTTAGTTCAACGACAGATGAGCTTAAATTAAATTTTAAACAAGACTTTAACAGCAGAACTTCAAGTTAAGTTGCTTTCATTTAAAAAGTCTTGACAGCATAATGGAAGCACAATATGATATCAGACTAATGTCGTGACAGTTGAAATCAAAATGAGTTTCCATTTTGATAGGAACTGCAAACTTTAACATCGATTTGCTTTCATTTTGTTAACCGACTTTGATCGGGTAGTAACCCACATCAAACAGTGACATCTTGAGGTGGAACCAAAATATGAACGTTTTATCTCAAAAACTGAACAACACGTCAAAATAGCTTTTGAATTAAACTAGAAATTTAACTCTGTTTAGGAGAGTATACTGCCGCTCTTCGCATGTCGGTCCCATGGCAAAAATCAGCAAGCCGAGAAAATCGCATTTTTAGCTTGATTCGTACCATTGCTTCTTATGTGATGAGACAACCAATTTGGCTGTCTTTCCAAACTTTTTCAGAACAAAGTTATTGAGTTCATCCAGTATTAAGAAAATATGAGTGATCAGCTACCATTTGCATTGTAAAACTCAGTTTTGACAAAAACTGCTATGGGACCGACATGCGAAGAGCGGCAGTATAATACAGTATGGGTCCGATTTTGGCAACACTTCTCCTATGTTTTTATTTTGCTTGTCTTCTGCACTTAAGAACCTCAAACCCTATTTAACATTTTGCATAGACTTTCTGGATAGTTGTGAAGCTTTGAACGTGATCAGATAATCAGATTTGTAGCTATAAAATAGTTAGGAAAGCTTCAAAGTAAAAAATTGAATAACTAATTCTAAGATAAAAAAAACGTCCTATAGTTTTTAGATTATTAAAAAAATCACTGATTTAATAGCATAGATATAATCAAAGTGCAGTCTGCACAAACAGTAGAGTACTCGTTGGTGCCAACGCTTGATTAAGAACCTCATTGAGCCACCCTTTCACGGTCATTTGGCCATCCTGTGACTATTCCTTCTTTCCATTCACTTAACACTTACTATCTACGGCTTCCGCAATAATATACACCACTGGCTCCCAATTTGCGTTCAACTCCGCTCTTGACTAATCTGGAATCGTAGATTTCCTTGGTCTACACCAGTGGTTTTCAACCTTTTCCATTTCATTCCCCCTTTTTGAAAATTCGCAGATTCTCCTTCCCCCTTTTTGAAAATTCGCAAATCCTGCTTCCCCCCACATGTAGAAACTGTATATATAATAATTAAAAATTAACACAAATCGAAATTAAATCTTGTGTAGTTTGACCTTTTAGTTAAAACAAGTCGAATCTTTAATTGATTAAAATAATAGAAAACATTTGTTTTGTAAGATTAAATTCAATGCGAAACCTGCACCTGAACATTTTCAGCTAGCATCTTGATTCTCGAAGCTGTCCTTGACAAGCAACACCTCATATCGTCTTCGATGTCTATTCTGTTACAGTTTTTTGTTTTGATCTGCAACATTGTAGAACATCCGAATTCGGACAAGTATGTGGACACAAATGGCAATAAAACTCTCATTGCGATTTCTCCTATATTAAGAAAAGATCTTGTTCTTTGATATCAGGGAAATATCGCTTGAATTCGTTTTGAAGTGCTGACAAATGCTGTAAAACTTCACTTTTGATGCTTATCGGGACCATGCCTTCATTGGATTATTCATCAATTACCGATGAAAATCTTTCAAACATTGCGAAATCATTCGACTGGATCTTGCGTATCCAATTCTATGGTTTGCCGATGGTGATGGTGGTATGTTTGCCTTGTAGATTAAGGTTAAGCTTGTTTAGCTGTTCATAAATATCAGCTAATTAAGCTAACAGTAAGATCCAATAAGGGTCACTTACTGTATCCAAAAGTTTAGTTTTTCCTTGGAGTTCAAGAAAAGATTTCTCTTCCGATTTTAGTTCGAAAAATCTATCCGTAACATTCCTTTCGATAACCAACAAACGTTGATATGATACAGAAGCGTTTGATGCTTAGACTCCATGTTGGCACAAAGTTGCTTGAAAAGTCTCGAATTCAATGCACTTAATTTTACTAAATTTACGATTTTACCATTTGATCGAAAACGACACCCAAAGATTGTGGTAGCGTTTGAGAAGCAAGTGCTTGTCGGTGAATCATGCAATGAGTCCCTGTTACTTTCGGATTCGGTTTCTTCGCCATTGTTTGGAAACCATGATTTGCTTCCTAATATTGCTGGTGTATCATCGGTACAGGAACCACAAACACTGTCCCAGGAAATTCCATTAGAATCAAAAAACGAGCCAACTTTCGCTAAAATATCAGCTCCTTTCGTTGTTGTTTCGAGAGCCGAACAAAACAGGAATTCCTCCTTGGTAGTTCCGGCATGAACGTATATCGCAAAAGCTATTAACTGGGCATAAGATGAAACATCTGTGGACTCAATGAATATCGAAAAGTCCAAATTTTGCCGCCTTGATCTCAGATACCACTTGGTTTTTGATATCCACGGACATATCACTTATTCGTCGCTGGACAGTGTTATCCGACAATGAAACAGCTGTTAACTTTTTTTCCATGCCATTTCCGAGTACTATTTCCACCATCTTCATTGCACAAGGTTTATGCCTTGTTCAGACTACAGAGTTATAACATGTTATAGCGCTATCTTGATGGTGGTTTCTGTGTTGCAATTATTTGACAACCGTTATAACATGTTATAACTCTCCAGTCTGGACAGCGTTTTAATCAAAGTTTCTCCAATTGTATGAAGTTTTTTTTCTGTTTGGGAATCTCTAGCGATACGGCATATAATGCTTCCACAACTCTTCCATTTATCCATCTTCATCTTTTTTAAGATTCCGCTCACTGCGTTCGAAGAAACCCACGCCTTTATCGAAATGTTGTGGCTGCACGTTCTGGAGTTGTTGTTTCAGCTTGCTGGGTCTCAAGCAATCGTTGGCCAGAACCTTCATACAAATCAGACATTGAGGTCTCTCTTCGCCGTTTACAGTCATGGATGTGAAACCAAACTGGAGATATGAACCATCGAATTTTCTCTTCTTATCTCCCATGGCAATATTCTACAAATAACAACACAATAATCACGGTCAAGATTTGATTATCTTAAATGTGTGACAACTGGAATCAACCTTCTTTCTAGAATAGTTAATAAATATCTCTTGGAAGTAGCACAGCTTGAAGTAAAAATTAAAACGGGTGTAAAGTTAAGCCAAACAACGTCGATGTTTGCTTGTTGATGCGCGCTGATAAATA